GTTCATTTCTGTCATTATATAAAATTATCATTTTTACATTAAAATTTACCAAACATTTTTACATTTTTTTTAATACTCACAGCACTTTCAAAAAGATGTTTATCAAACGCTTAGTCTTTATTTTATAGTTGATTATTCCAAAGCATTTTATCAAACGCTAAATTGCTTTATTTTACAGTTAATTATTCTTAAAAGAGTTTTTTTAATTATTATTTTATTATTTATTTTATTATTATTTTAATAACAAAAATTCCAAACTGGCTCAAAATGTGGAGCATTACTCCATTCCGTTGACTTCCGTAAAAAAAATCTCTTTAGTTTAATTACGTGGCACATATGTGGGCCTACATATCTTATATTGTGATGATGTCACGTGTGTTAAAAAATAATTATATATTAGCAATTAAATTAAGGGTGATTTTGTATAAAATCAATACAAAGTTATCATATTGACAATAGATCAACAATATTTATGTTAATTATAAATAGGTTAATCATGCATTGTAACACTTAAATGCATTTAAAGTAAACAAAAATTATAAAATCTGCCATTACAGCTGGCACTCATTTCAACTGACACCCCATTTCTCATACATTTTATATCTTGAAATAGGTCAATATAGATCAGACACTACGTTACAGTGTCTGTTTCCTAAGTCTGTTTTTTACATTTGGATTCAAACGCTGTGTAGCGGTGTCCATTTCATAGTTTTGTTTTTTCCATCACTCATATGTCTCATACGTGCCTGTTTTTACATTTGGATTCAGACATTGTATGCAGTGTCTGTTTCCTAGTATTTTTTTTATTTTTCGATTCATACACTACGTTGAAGTGTCCGTTTCCCGGTTCTATTTGTTTTCGTCGCTCACATGCCTTCTATGCTTAACACCGCACGTGACTGCTGATTTCTACATTTGGATTTAGACACTGCATTGCATTGTCCATTTCCTGCTTTGTTTTTTACATTTGGATTCAGACACTGCAACACAATATCCTTTTCTTGTTTTGTTTTTCAAATTTGGATTCGAGTCTATTTCTTGTATCTGTTTTTTACATTTAAATTCAGATGTTGCGGTGTATTGTCCATTTCTTGTTCTGTTTTTTACGTTTGGATTTAGGCACTGCAACGCAATGTTCATTTCTTGTTCCTCTTTTTTTTTTTTTTTCTTTTTTTTTTTTGTGCATTTGGATCCAGACACTGCGTTGCAGTGTTTGTTTCCTGATTCTACTTTTTACATTTTAATTGGGATGTTCCATCGCAATATCCATTTCATAGTTCTTTACTAGTTGATATACACATGCAACCACTCCTTCCCAAACCTTGCCGCCATCAATCGCTTCATGATTTCGTGGATGTCGTTCATGGTTTGGAAGGAATCATGTCAATCGCGATGTTGTAGAAAATTCAGACTTTGCATTGTAGTTTGCATTGTGAAACATAAATTGCAATGCAGTCTATGCAGAGTTCCCACCAAAACGTGATATAGTAGCGGTGGTGGAGACAAACAGATCTCGCAGCAAATTAAAAGGATTCAAGATGAAATCGAACAACTCGAAACAAAATCGATTGGCATTTGCGGTAGAGATCATCGTCGATTTCTTGTAATTTCATAAATTTGTTTGGGTTATCAAGAGCAAGAGTCAGAGAAGTGAAGGAGAGAGAGTACAAAATATTCTTTTAATCTTAGTATGGGTTAAATAGTATTTTCATGCACAAACTAAGGAAGCACATAAAACACGAGCCCCGTGCCATTGGTTTTAAACTAATTAATAAAAATAATTCACCGATCTAGCCCAAAAACGAAATTTACTCGATATATCCTTAAATACAAAAGAATCTATTGACTTTAACAGAAAAAACCTTTAAATTAAATACATATGAAGTATAGATAGATTATAGATTTATATATAGTACTTCTTAGTTTCTATCATTCTTCAATCTAAATTTTCACCATTTCCAATATAATTTTTATTAGTCTTAAGAGTGCTTGAAGGTTTTTTTTTTTTTTTTTTCCCAAGTGAATTTTCTTGGACTCAATTAGAAGTCAAAAGTATTTTTTTAGTCGTGCATGGTTATAACCATGATCATTTATTTTTAAGAGTTTATGACATGTTTACTTACATAGATTGAATATTGAAATTATTCTTATTCTTAACTTTTGTGTGTTTATTAACACATGAATATTGTTTTCCACAACGATATTCTAGTTCAAAATGCGGGGATATTCCACTCTAAAAGAATGGAAATCAGACTAAGCCACCAAGCGAGCTAGCCATAACTAAGTATCAAACTCAGCACAAATATTATACGTCATCGCAATCAATGTGGTGAAACATGAAATCTCTCACTTACAAGTGAGGAAAAATACTACTATATCGTAGTATTAATTGCACAACATAAGTATAATAATTATTTTAATTCATAACTTCCTTGTGTTTGTTAGCACATACAGAAGAAAAAAAAGAGTTAGTTCCACATTAAACTTTATAATCTAATAACTGAAAAGTAAAAATAAATTCATAACTTTCCTTGTCGTTGATTCATGATTTCTCTGTTCCAAGGCATTTAGGGATAAATGTTTTTGAGATCAACGTCTCCTGATCTATACTCTAGAAAAATCTCTACTTGTCACACCGATGTATGCTTTAGAAAATCTCTACTTGTCACACCCATCTATGCCTCACCTAACCCTCCCCTTGTGATTTTCCTACCCATACCTAACTATCTCTCACTTTTCATATAGGAATGTGCTATCCACACATCTCATTTTACTTCTCACACACCTTTTAATAATTTCTATCCGTTGATCTTTTTTAATTTATCCGATCTGATGCCTGAAAAGTAAAAAGATGTGTGAGAAGTGAAATGGATTGTGTGGATATTACACCCCTTCATATATATGGTCTGGCAAAAAATCTTGGATGCTCTTGTCCGGTGTTCTTGATGTTTTAACTGTTAGCTTTTAATTTTTTTTGTGTTTTTAAACCAAAATCTAATAGTTAAAACATCCAAAATATTGGTTCTCTTGAGCACCCAAGAAAATCCTTATGTTTGGGTCGAATAATCTTAATATGTAGGGAATACAGAACATGGTAATCAATCTATTTTTAAGGCTTAATTGTAGCAGTGGTCTTTGTACTTTACCCTAGTTTAATTTTAGTCCCCGAATTCTCATAATTAGCTTCTTTTGTCTTTGAATTTAACAATGTGATGCAACATCGATCCTTTTCACTAACGCCGTCTTTTCCCCCATTAAATCTAGGGGTATATTAGGAACTTCAACTTAAAACTTCAAAAAACAATAAAAGAAGATAAAAGAACAAATGAAAATTTATAAATTAATATCTAAAACTTGAAACAAATGAAATTTAAACTATAAAAATACAAAATGAAAATAGTTGGACTTTAGCAACTTGTAAATATTAGGCAATGTGATTTCAAAGTTGATAGGAGATCAAACTGTAGTTGGACTTAAACAACCTAACAAATGACATATTAACTAGAAAAAAAAATCCTTTGTATTCAATTTTCTTACACAAAAAAATCTGATATTTTTAGATTTTTTTTTCTCTCTCATTTCTAATTTTAAATTCATTTGTAGTCATGTGAGATGAAATTCCTAATATACCCCGAAATTTAGAGAAAATATAGACAACATTAGTGAAAAAGCTAATGGTACAACACATTGCTAAGTTGAAGAACTAGAGAAATTACCATAAAAGTTTAAGAACTAAAACTAAACTAAGATTAAAGTTTAAAGACTATTGCTATAATTCGGTCTCATTTTTAATTTTACATTGGGGATTCTTAGGTGGCATTTTGTATTATTTGATCCCTTAACAATAGAGAGGTAGTAATCACAACAAATCTTTCAAAATTACCCTTTCGTCCTACCATTTCCCCTCATCCATATTCAACATCCACGGCTAATCAAGTCATTTTGACTCACCAATCAGTATCACCATTGCAGGACCCCCAAACTTTACTAGGAACACAGCAAATCCAACATTGCCACGTGTCCTGGTAGATGACAGTTTCCCAAGTAGCTGACGGCATTAGGGCTTCAAGTGCATTGTAATTTCTATATCATTACAGGTCCCCCCCAATATATGAAGGGATCAGAGAGTCAAAGAGAAAGAGAGACGGTTAGTTGGACGTACCACCGCCTCCCTCTAGGGCTTCTTCTTCAACCCAACAGCAACACTGCTCCCTCGCTTTTATTTTTGAGTTCTACAAGAATAAAACAACTAAATTAGGAATAAAAATAAATAAAAAAAAAAAACCCAATTTTCAGTTTTCATTTTTGTTCACAGTAGAACCCATTTTCGCATTTGCTAAATACCAGATTTTGAAACCCAAAGACTCAAACTTTATTACAAAAATATTAAAATATAGGTGAAAAAACTATTGGTTTATCCTCAACTTTCATTTTTCGTGTCAAAGTGGTGGAATTTTGTTGCAGAAGTCTCTCTCTCTCTCTCTCTCTGTCTCCCCATAACACTGTTCAAAAAACTCTTGGGAAGTCCAGCAGTAGCACCAGTGAAAACGCTGCGTTTTGGTGCATATGCAGCAGCAGTTCGTACTTGGCTTCTAAAAAGACAGACGCAGCACTCCTTTTGCAGGATTAATCCTGATTTTTGTTTTCATAAGCTGTTTCTGCTTTCTCTGTCTCTGTCTCGATCTCGATCTCCATTCTCCAAGGTAAAAGCTCTGGTTTTTACGTCACGTTTTTTATAATTTATAATTTTTTGTATTTTTCGAGCTCATTTTTTTTTATAAATATTTTTAATTATTCTATTTTTGGAGCTGAAATTTTTATTTGTTTTCTTTTCTTTTCTTACAAATTTTGGTGGTTGTGCAATGCAGGCTGAGCCAAGTGTTATAAACTTGGCTTATTTAAGATTCAGTGGACCCAACAGATTTCAGGGTTTGTGAGTTGAAGCCATTCAGGTCAGTTGCTGCTTTTGTTCTGCAAAGAGTTTTAGTTCTTAGAGTTTCTGGAATTTGTTGACTAGTTTTAATTTTTTTCAATTTTACTTTTACCTTACCTCTGAAGGTCAGTGCTAATCTGCATCTTATATTATTTTCTTCAAAATCTGTGGCTTAAACTTTTTATATTGAGATTAATTTCTTGTTCTTATACGTTTGTTGGAAGAAAATTTGTTGGTTTTCAATTCTGTGTTTCTGCAATTTCTTCGATAATTTGGAGAATTTGATGCGTGTGTTTATTAGATTTATTTTTGTTTTGATGTTTTTAATTCATTCAACTTTCTCTTGGAAAGAAAGAAAGAAATTATTTCCGACTTGTGGAAAGGTTATATGATTGGGAAAGTAAGATTACAATCTTGTCCGCATATGGTTGCCCTTGTCACTAGTAGGGTACTGAACATGTCATGGTTTGATATGTGTGGTTCAATATACGAAGAGAGAGGATTATAATTGCTTCAAGTTTTAATGTCGAGTTCGAGAGATTTCGTATATAAAATTAAGTGGTTAGTTGAGATATTACCGATCTTGTTAGTTCGAAGAGGAAGATGTGAACTTGGATAATATGCTTATCTTTTGATAAACTGTTTCATGGATAGTGAAAAAACAGTCTCAAACAACGATTTTTACAAAATCAAATACATTATGTTTTCAACCGTGGCCGTAGAAAACATGAAAATGACATGTCAGAGACCACAGTGTTCAGGAGCTGTATTTGGTATTGCCAATTCTATTCAGTGTTCCATCTTCGCTGTTTGTTTTTTCTATGATGTGAATGCTCTCGTGTTCTAGCAGGTTGTTTGTTAGCGCATAATCTGTTTTTGATAAGTTATAAGTGGACTAGATTGTACAATTGTTCCTCGACTTCAATGTGCAACCTTCGTCGGTTATATCACTAAGTTGATGGAAAGAATTCCTAATCCCGGTCAGCTAGTGAACACATGTGTTAGGAAAATCGAAATCTGTATGCTTCCCTTTCCTACTCAAATTATGCATCTTTGAAATGGCAATGAGAATCTGAGAGTACAGGGACTCTTCTGCAATTATTTCCCAATTCCCCAAATCCAAATCCAAATCCCAAATGCTCTGTCTTGCTTGATAATAAATGCATTAAGCCAAGGTTTTACCTTTCAATTTCTGTGATTTAGTAGAATGATATACTCCTGTAAACTCCTTTGACTCTTCGTCTTGTTAATTTGTTATTTATCTTAGTATTTCTATATAATCCCGGTCTCATGCAGGTTTGAAGTCGATTGAACTTTGCACATCTTGAGCCAACATGGGCAGTAGCAGCTCCTCAAGTGTCGGTTAATTACTATTCTTTGTATTGCTTTCTGGAGAAAGATGTACAGAGTATTCCAGGCATAAGATTATGGGACTTCCATGTTTTCATTTAGCTCATGCTAGTACGTCACACATAAAAAATACCTAGTTGGAACATAACATAATCATTAGAAAAAATGGATATTAAGGAAGCAGAGCGTGTAGTTATAGCTAAACCAGTTGCTTCAAGGCCTACATGTTCCACCTTTAGGTCCTTCACAGAGCTTCTTGCAGGAGCTATTGATGCCTCTCCCTCTAATGTATCTTCTGCAACTGCTGTTTCTGCCATCAGACCAAAGACCGTGAGGTTCAAGCCATTGGTGAATCATGCTGTTGATGGATTGGTTTCTTCCCAGGTGATCTTAATTCTACTAAAAAATGATTGTTCCTTTTGAAAAGTTCTTTAGCTCTGACTGTTTGTGTGAAAAAATTTCAGGCGGATATCTCTGGTGGAGCACATAGACATTCATCGGAGAAGGTTTCGAAACGAGATAGCAGATCAACTGTGGTATATAAACCATTGGCGAAAGTTGTTTCAAGGGCAACCGTTTCTGTCTTGGCAAATATGGTCAGTGGCTAGATATTGTGTGTTTGCAATTTAATTGAACATTTCTTTTTCTAGTAACATGTATGTGTTTCCTCAGTACTATCTTTGGTATACTGAATAAACGTGTAAAGACATGGACTTCCGAAAATGTGGTGAAACTTTTGAACTCGAATTTTGAAACTAAAATTCCTTTTTGTTCATTCTTACCAGGGAAACTTCAATACCTGCCACCAATCTACACAATCATCAGTTAATGCGGATGTTCTACATCCAAATCAAGATAAAAGCTTTAGATCCCAAAGCATAAATCTGCGCCATAATAATCCATCATGTGCTGAGACAAATCAGACAACAGAGCCTCCGAAAATAGCCTCGCAAAACATGGAAGAGGATCAAAAAATTATACCATCCACAGCCAATACTGATAGGCCTTCTTATGATGGGTATAATTGGAGAAAATATGGACAGAAGCAAGTCAAGGGAAGCGAGTACCCCCGAAGTTACTATAAATGCACGCATCCAAATTGTCCTGTGAAAAAGAAGGTAGAACGATCTCTGGATGGACAGATCGCTGAGATTGTCTACAAGGGTGAACACAACCATTCGAAGCCTCAACCTCCAAAGCGTAGCTCATCAGGGACGCAAGGGTTAGGCGTAGCCTCTGATGGAACTGGTCAAGATACCAACAACAGGTTATGTAATAGTCATCTTAATGAAAGAAATGAAGGTTCGGAAGGTAGATTGGAAGATCAGAATGAAGTTGGACTGCCGGTGCATTTTTACCAAAGCAAAGCTCTACTACGTTATGATCCCCTAGCCAGTGGAGGAATAAATGCTGGTGGTGCAACTCCTGATAATTCTTGTGGTCTTAGTGGAGAATGCGAGGAAGGAAGCAAGGGGCTTGAAGCAGAGGATTGTGAGCCTAGAAGTAAAAGAAGGTAAGATGTATCGTTAAACGAAAATCAGAATCCTATACTTTGGATTAGCTATGCAAGCTTTACTCTGAAAAGGTGGTGCACTTTACTACAACAACAACAAAGTCTTATCCCATTAAATAGGGTTGGCTGTATGAATCCTAGAACGCCATTATGCTCGGTTTTGTGCCAAGTCTTCTATTAGATCTAAGTACTCCAAGTCTTTTCTTAGAGTCTATTTTCAAGTCTTCCTAGGTTTTCCTCTACCCCTTTGGCCCTGAGCCTTAGTCTCATAATTGCATCTTTTAACCGGAATGTCTGTAGGTCTTCATTTTACATGTCCAAACCACCTTAACCGATTTTTTCTCATCTTATCTTCAATGTCGGCTACTCCTACTGTACCTCGTATATCCTCGTTCCTAATCTTATCCTTTCTCGTGTGCCCACACATCCAACGAAGCATTCTCATCTCCGCTACATTCATTTTGTTTACGTGTTGATGCTTGACCGCCTAATATTCCATGCCATAAAACATTGTTGGCCTTGTTGCCATCCTATAAAATTTTCCCTTGAGCTTTAGTGGCATACAACGGGCACACAACACACTCGATCCACTCTTCCACTTCAACCATCCAACTTGTATTCTATGGTTTAGGTCTTCATCCAATTCTCCGTTCTTTTGCAAGATAGATCTAAGATAGCGAAACCGTTCGCTCTTTAGTACTTCCTGATCTCCAATACTCACCCTAACTCATCTAAACCTCCGTTCCCACTGAACTTGCACTTCATGTACTGTCTTTGAAAAAAATAATTATTATCATCGTTTGTTATCTGCTGGTTTGTATCCATTTTCTTGCCTCTTCCCTTCTCCGTAGTTGACCTTGACTGTTTGGATTAAAATGCGATCAAAATATCTTGATTCTTGATGAGCTTTTCTATCATAATACTCTCTGTTCAAGGTTAATGTTATTGACTATGTTTAACTATGATTTTCCTTCAGAAAAAGTGAGAATCAATCCAATGAAGCAGGGATATCAGGGGAAGGTGTCCAAGATCCCCGTGTTGTGGTGCAAAGTTCAGTTGAATCTGATATGACGGGTGATGGCTTCCGCTGGAGGAAGTACGGGCAGAAGGTTGTTAAGGGGAATCCATATCCCAGGTTAGAAAGAATGAATAATTCTTCTTCTTTCTTTTTTTAGTAAATGTATCCACACCTCTTAGAGCCATTGGCTAATATTCCTCTTGCATACGTGCTCACCTGTCTCATATGTCTACCTCAAGCTCTTAGTCTAGTGATTTTTTTTTGTGTTGTCGAATGAGGTTTCAAATCTGAATCCCCCATTTTTGTTGATTAAAAAAAATAGGTAGGGAATTATCCTGGTATTCCGAACTCAAGACATTACTTTTTAGAATGAGGTCCTAATCAAATATATAACCAACCTCTATGGATTGTGTTAAGATTCAGTTGATTACGTTGTTCATCAACTGCTGTTTGCATTCATGACATCTGCAATGGGACACAAGGTTCGTTGTGGCTAGCTGGTGCTTACTCCATAACTTTTTCGATCTTGCAGAAGTTACTACAGATGTACCAGTCTCAAATGCAATGTGCGTAAGCATGTCGAAAGAGTCTCGGATGATCCCAAAGCTTTCATCACAACGTACGAGGGAAAGCACAACCACGACATGCCACTGAGGAACGCAAACACAGGAGCATCCGAAAAGGATACAACTAAAGAAAAGCCATGAATGAGTGATAACATCGAACTCAAACTTTGGCATTAAACTGTTTCAACCTCATGTTTTGTCTGACAGAAATGTCAGACGGGCTCGGAGAAAAAATCAGACACCAAAAATAATTTGCTGCAGTGATTCTGATTCCCACCTTGGATGGTCTGATCTGCAATGCTAATAATTTCACATGGGAATCTCTTTGATGGCTGCTTGATGGATTTGGAGACATAAAATGGTGAAAATATTTTTGCTAATTTTCCCTCCTGTTGCTGCTTCCTTCAATTAGCACATCAGAGTATTACATTTTTTTCTTTTCTTTTCTATTAATTGTAATCCACTGGGAAATTTCACATAACAAAACTTTGTTAGAAATGTTAATGGCAGTGATTAGGTTGATGACTCGATAATACTCCTCCCAATAAGCACAAGGATGATAGAGAATAAAGTTTAAGGATCATTCAATTCCCAGTGGGTAATACTTGTGTGTTATATTTGTTATTAGATTATGTTGTAAACTATAGCTTTGAAATTTTGGATGCTTTTAAGCAATATTGGGGACGGGGGATTTAACTCGAACCTTGGTGTCCGAGTGAATGTTTCTAATCACTTGAGCTGCAAACCCTTTACAAATCCAAATTCATTCCCTCTATCGATCCACTATCTTCTCTCTCTTACCTTTGTCACTGCCCTTTTTTCCTTTTTAAAAAATTGTGAATACTTTAAATAATTTTGAATTTATACTAAACAAGTTTTGAAGTGTTATTAAAAATTGTTCTTGAGGATGTTCTTAAGAAATATATTTGAAAAAAAAGTTGAATTTTTTTTGTAGGATACCAAGCGGGTCTTAAGTTTCATATCATCCAAAGCTATTAACTCTACGATATGAACTTGGATCATCTTGTAGAATCGTAGATCATGTCTCAAACAGAAATTAGGCCAATAGTACTTAGAGACTCCATTTTCTATCAGTAGTAAGGTAACGATTTTCGCCCTCTAATTTGATCAATTTGCACTCCGTTGGTAGTGAACACTACTTAGCTCCTGAGTTAAACCTCCTTGATTGTCAATCTACACTTCGCCGAGTACACAAAATTGACTCATTTAAAAGCATAAAAGTAAAGAGACTCCTCAAAACTCCTTTCCATAATCAAAATACTTAAAAAAAACACCATTTTGATGAAGAAAGAACTCAGAATCCAACCGTTATTGCACTTAATATTAACCCTTGATAAGAAATGACCTTTCCTGCACAATTCAATTTTGAAGTGTTTCTCACTTATATTTGTGGAGATATAAATTAACCAAATTCAATAGAAGAATGACACGTGGACAATATGCTCAATATGACAATTTTTTCCTTAACGTTATGAGTAGACCATAAAATTGCTCTAAAGAAATAAGACGTAATCTACTCTAAAGTAATGAGATTTTATGCCATTAACGAACCATGGGCTCTGTGGGAGCAACCAACCCCCTTCAACATCTCATAATGTGTTCTACGCTGTTGAAAGCTAGATCCATAGAACAACTTTCCTTGTCTGAGATATCTCATGTGAATGAGTTACATGAGCATGTCGCCCATGACATACCTTATGGACTCTTTGGACTGCTAATAATACGTACTATCAGTGGGCCATACACAGTCAATGGTGTCAAGGCACCGACTCTTCAGAGTCTTCCTTTGGGTGTGATGCGCATCTATGCTCTTATCGACAGGGACCTTCATAACTATTAGCTAGCAGGAATGCAGTGACTGGCCTACGTATCAAGGAATGCTTAGTATGCTCTGCAGTTTCCCTTTGCAGCTGCCTGCTAGGGTTTTTCCTATAAATAGTCAAGTCAAAAGGACGAAACGGTAACTGCCACTTACTACTCAGATATCTCTCAAGTTTTATTTTCTCTCTATTACTTTTCTGACTTGAGCATTATAGGCTCTTTGGCAAACACCCTTCCTTTTTTTCAAAGTATTCATAAATTAAGCTAAATGTATTTGTTTTCTTATAAGTAAACTTTTGTCAAATCAATCGTGTACAAAAATTTTATCCACAATATTATAGTTGTTATTAAATGGTTAACAAAAGTTTTTTTTAACGCGTACCAAACTCTAATTTGTGTACAAATACTTAGATTGATTTTTCAGCTGAACCACAGGAAATGTGACACTTCAAGTCTTCACGCTTGCTGATTGATCTACAATAAGCTTAGATATTTGGCCCACGCCCATCTTGGATATTGTAACGTAGAATTCAAACCGACATTTGACCACCACACTACTTTTCATGTGTCACCTTTTTCCACCACTTAATTTTAATCACTCTTTGGAAGTTTTCTGTTGTCCTAACCGTAACTCACGCATCCTTTGCCTTTGCTGGTATGTTACGGGTTCATATTAAATTGTCAATTCATTATTCTTCAAAATTTTTTGATGTTTTGGAGTATGGAATATTTGAAGTGTTGTAATTTTTAAATTTTAATTTTTTATTTCCAAATAAACATCTAACAACGAAAACATTAGGAGCATCCCATACTTTGAAGTACTGTAAAAAAATCTCATTTTTCTTTGGTCATTCCGTCACTTCATGAGGAGTCAGTTTTTCATTCCTGTAAATCATTGTCTGACCATATAGAGAGAGAGTTCATAAAGAAACCGCAAATAGAAATTATTTTTACCTGCATATTAAACTGTGATTAACATGAATGCAGAAACGCCTACTTCCATGACAACGAGTTAGGTAATATCCTTTTTTACGTTGCAGGCTTGACTTATTAACATGATTCTGCAGCGAACATGGGATCAGAGGTATTCTTTGTACTCTTCAAAAAGTTATATAAGAAGCGTCTGCGAAGCCATAATTTGTGGGAGGAGTCCGGACGGTGACCCACCAAGGTCAAAGGTTTATGAATTTGTGGCATAAATAACTTCATTGAGAAGACCAATATTTGCATTCGCACTACACACCACACCATGCCATCTGGAACTTCTTGCGTGACTTGGTCCATAAAGTCAATAGTCCCTAAGAACAAAGAGATATAATCTAATTTATGAAGACTATATATTCTAATAAGATGAGTGATTAACTTATTTCTTTCTCGCATGGTTTTGTAGTTATAGAGATCATGGAAGTATTTGATTCACGGTATATGTGTTCTGTTTTTTGAGTTTCGTAATTGTCTAATATGATATCAGAGTTTTGATCTTGTGGTTATAACTCATCTCGATATTTGATTCATGATTTGTGAAGTTTTTTTTAGATTAGTGGTTGTTTAGCATGACATCAAAGTTCCTATTTTTAGAGATCCTTGATTTTTTATATACATGCACGCGAGAAAGGATTTTAGATTTATATACCTTGTTGACCTATCCTTCCAATTTAAATTTTGGAGTTCGGCTATCTCACCATATATAACCATAAAGTTATTCTTTACTAGCTACTTAGTATTACGGTCTAGTGATATTCCTCTTTACTTGTAATTAAGAGGTCTTAAATTTGATTCTCACTAAAAGTGAATTTAAATCACATTATTATGATTTCCTCACTCTAGTCCTTATCCTACTTCATAGTATGATTTTTTTTATTTTTTATTTTTATTTTTATATAAGTGTTATTGTACATTAAATTATCTCATTACGGGACAAAAGATTCAAACTGTTACAGAAACTGTTTAAACCAAATTAACTTGACTAATTGAATTATAATATCCAACTTGACTAAATTCAAACCTATATGTATAATATGTTCTTTTATTACTATTTCTCTCCTTCAATGACAAAAAGAAGAAGAAAGTTTATTCTTTGTCAAAGTTTTAGAAAGAAGGTATTTTTTTTCTTTCTATAATTTATAGGAATACTTTGAATATATTAAAAGGAAAATTAATGAAAAATGTTTGAAAATTTTGAATTTTAACGATAAGGATAAAATAAAGGGTAAAATGAATAGTATCATGATTGACTTTTTAGTATAAAAATATTGTTTTTCGTTAAAATAAACAGTACCGAAAATTTTTTTGTTAAAGTTTTGATTATTAAACCCTTGAACATTGAGGAAAAGATCACATAAATCAAAGAGCACCTCCAAACATCAATGGAAGCCACATATCAAATGATATACAGTCTTTGTGCTTTCTACGATGAAAACAAGACTGTTGGTCAAAACTTTTACTACTGTGGAAATGTTGACTTAACTTTAGCATAATTTAAGCAGCAATCTTTTAACTAAAAATATATGAGTATTGATCTCTTAACTTATCAAAACGTGTTGTTATAGTCATTTTCGTAATGGTCTTTCAATTTTAACTTAATTAGAAAAATGGTCCTTCAACTTTAACCTAATTAAAGCAATGGTCCTTTAATTTTAACCCAATTGTAGAAATAGTCTTTCCAACATGACTCAATTTAATGAAATTCTAAAGGAGTTGATGAAAAAAACTATAACTGTATGTTTTGATGAGATAAGAGACCAATAATCATGAATTTTTAGTTTAGAAACTATTACTCTAATATGATTAAAATTAAAGTACCGTTGTTATAATGTTCACTTTACCTAAATTTAGTGTTAGATTCTCAAATATATCTCATACCACCAAAGCCAAAAAAAATAAAAATAAAAAAGCCAAAAATCAGAGTTCGTGGAATCGAAAATGTGCTTACTTCCAAGTTCCCAAACAAGGAATTTATATAATATAAACGAACGTGACCAACACCATCAAATCAAAGTCACATAAAAATGCAATTCTATAGATTTTATATTGAGCATACAGTGTGTACCAAATGGAGGGTCCTAAATTAGCCATTTGTGACCGGCTGTGAGCTTTTGACTGACTAAAAATTGAAAGGAAAAGTTAAATAAACTCCACAGAAAGTTTCCACACACTTAACACAGAAAGTCTTTTGTGAGATCTAAGTATTCCAAATCTTTTTTTAGAGTCTTTTCAAGTCTTCGTAGGTTTTCCTCTACTCTTTTGGCCATAAGCCTTAGTCTCGTAATCGCATCTTTTAATCGGAATATCTGTAGGTCTTCATTTCACATCTAAATCACCTTAACCGATTTTCTGTCATTTTATCTTCAATATCGGCTACTCCTACTTTACCTCGGATATCCTCGTTCCTAATCTTATCCTTTCTTGTGTGCCCACATATCCAACGAAGCATTCTCATCTCTGCTACATTCATTTTGTGTACGTGTTGATACTTGACCATTCAACATTCCATGTCATAAAACATTGCTGGCATTATTGCAGTCCTATAAAAATTTTCCTTAACCTTTAGTGGCATACAACGGGCACACAACACACCCGATGCACTCTTCCACTTCATCCATCCAGCTTGTATTCTATGATTTAGGTCTTCATCCAATTCTCCGTTCTTTTGCAAGATAGATCTAAGATAGCAAAACCATTTGTATCCATTTTCTTGCCTCTTCCCTTCTCCGTGGTTGACCTTGACCGTTTGGATTAAAATGCGATCAAAATATCTTGATTCTTGATGAGCATTTCTATCATAATACTCTCTGTTCAAGGTTAATGTTATTGACTATGTTTAACTATGATTTTCCTTCAGAAAATGTGAGAATCAATCCAATGAAGCAGGGATATCAGGGGAAGATGTCCAAGATCCCCGTGTTGTGGTGCAAATTTCAGTTGAATCTGATATGACGGGTGATGGCTTCCGCTGGAGGAAGTACGGGCAGAAGGTTGTTAAGGGGAATCCATATCCCAGGTTAGAAAGAATGAAAAACTCTTCTTTCTTTTTTAAGTAAGTGTACCCATACCACTTAGAGCAATTGGCTAATATTCCTCTTGCATACGCGCTCACCTGTCTCATATGTCTACATCAAGCTCTTATAGCGCGTTTATTAATCCGTAATCAAATTGAAAGGAATTGAATTGAGGAGGAATTGAAATGAGGTGAAATCAGAATCAGATTCCTGTTGAAGTTGTTTACTAAAATTGTCCGGAATCGGAATACAATTCCATAAAACTGTTTACTAATTCAGCAGAATTGAAATATAAAGTAGTATGATTACTAAAATATCCTTGTCTCAAATAAAATATTTTACGTACTTTTTTTAATAAAATTTGACATAGTATATAATAGTAAGAAAAAATTAAATTGCTTTTTTATTTCATAGACATACTAAAATGATTTTGCTTTTTTTTTTCTTTATAAATTTAAGTATTGACTTTAATATCTAAATTTTCTCGCTCAAGTTGTAGTTTTTTCTCTTCGGCATATGTATGGAGTTGTACATAATGTGAATGAGCATATAATTATGCTTAATGAGCTAGAAGGACATGGAAAGAAATTGTTAGGAGCATTTTCAGAAAAATAAGTCTAGGGTTAAAATGATAATCTTGGAAATAATTAAAGTAAGTGAGGGCATAAAGGAAAAAAATTATCATTCCGATTGCTTGGGCAATCCGGAATCCAAATACCTTGTATATGTTAGGAATCCAAATTCTCCAATTTCAGGAATTGGATTCCATATTTTGTGTTGGCCCCACGCACTTTTGATTCCTCCCAATTTTAGTAAACATAGTATAATCCATAATCGGAATTTGATTTCTTATTCTCATTCCGATTACGGGTTAGTAAACGCGCTATTAGTCTAGTGATTTTTTTTCGTGTTGTCGGATGAGGTTTCAAATCTGAATCCCCCATTTTTGTTGTTTAAAAAAAATAGGTAGGGAATTATCCTGGTATTCCGAACTCAAGACATTACTTTTTAGAATGAGGTCCTAATCAAATATATAACCAACCTCTATGGATTGTATTAAGATTCAGTTGATTACGTTGTTCATCAACTGCCGTTTGCATTCATGACATCTGCAATGGGACACAAGGTTCTTTGTGGCTAGCTGGTGCTTACTCCATAACTTTTTCGATCTTGCAGAAGTTACTACAGATGTACCAGTCTCAAATGCAATGTGCGTAAGCATGTCGAAAGAGTCTCGGATGATCCCAAAGCTTTCATCACAACGTACGAGGGAAAGCACAACCACGACATGCCACTGAGGAACGCAAACACAGGAGCATCCAAAAAGGATACAACTAAAGAAAAGCCATAAATGAGTGATAACATCGAACTCAAACTTCGGCATCAAACTGTTTCAACCTCATGTTTTATCTGACAGAAATGTCAGACGGGCTCCGAGAAAAAATCAGACACGGAAAATAATTTGCTGCAGTGATTCTGATCCCCACCTTGGATGGTCTGCTCTGCAATGCTAATAATTTCCCTTGGGAATCTCTTTGATGGCTGCTTGATGGATTTGGAGACATAAAATGGTGAAAATATTTTTGCTAATTTTCCCTCCTGTTGCTGCTTCCTTCAATTAACGCATCAGAGCATTACATTTTTTTTCTTTTCTATTAATTGTAATCCACTGGGAAATTTCACATAACAAAACTTTGTTAGAAATGTTAATGGCAGTGATTAGGTTGATGACTTGATAATACTCCTCCCAATAAGCACAAGGATGATAGAGAATAAAGTTTAAGGATCATTCAATTCCCAGTGGGTAATACTTGTGTGTTATATTTGTTATTAGATTACGTTGTAGACTATAGCTTTGAAATTTTGGATACTTTTAAGCAATATTGGGGACGGGGGATTGAACTCAAACCTTGGTGTCCGATTGAATGTTTCTAATCACTTAAGTTGCAAACCCTTTGCGAATCCAAATCCATTCTCTCTTCCGATCCACTATCTTCTCTCTCTTACCTCTGTCAGCTCACCAAGGAGTTGATGGAAAAAAAAGTTGAAATTTTTTTTTGTAGGATACCAAGCAGGCCTTAAGTTTCATAGCATCCAAAGCTATTAACTCTATGATATGAACTTGGATTATCTTGTAGAATCGTAGATCATGTCTCAAACATAAATTAGGCCAATAGTACTTAGGGACTCCATTTTCTATCAGTAGTAAGGTAACGATTTTCGCCCTCTCATTTGATCAGTTTGCACTCCAATTTATTTTGTGCTTCGATAATTGAGCAAATAAAGGAGCATCAAAGCATAAAAATAAGGAGAGGGTGCAAATGGATAGATTTAGAACGTCAAGAATCGCTATTCTTACTCCTTAGTAGTGAACACTACTTGGCTCCTGAGTTAAACCTCCTTGATTGTCAATCTACACTTGCCGAATACACATAAGTGACTCATTTAAAAGCATGAAAGCAAAGAGACTCCTCAAAACTCCTTTCCGTAATCAAAATAATTAAAAAAACACCATTTTGATGAAGAAAGAACTCAGAATCCAACTGTTATTGCACTTGATAAGAAATGACCTTTCCTGCACAATTCAATTTTGAAGTGTTTCTCACTTATATTTATGGAGATATAAATTAACCAAATCCAATGGAAGAATGATACGTGGACAATATGCTCAGTATGACAATTTTTTCCTTTAACGTTGTAAGTAGACCATAAAATTTCTCTAAATAAATAAGACGTAGTCTACTCTAAAGTAATGAGATTTTTTGCCACTAACGAACCATGGGCTCTCTAGGAGCAACCAACCCCCTTCAACATCTCATAATGTGTTCTACGCCGTTGAAAGCTAGATCCATAGAACAACTTTCCTTGTTCAAGACATCTCATGTGAATGAGTTACATGAGCATGTCGCCCATGACATACATTATGGGCTCTCTCGACGTACTGTCAGTGGGCCATACACAGTCAATGGTGTTAGGGCACCGCCTCTTCGGAGTCTCCCTTTAAGTGTCTTGCGCATCTGTGCTCTTACCGACAAAGACCTTCAGAACTGTTAGCTAGCAGAAATGCAAAGATTGGCCTACATATCAAGGAATGTTTAGTATGCTCTATAGTTTCCCTTCGTAGTTACTTGCTAGGGTTTTTCCTATAAATAGTCAAGTCAAAAGGATGAAACATGTAATAGCCACTTACTACTCAGATATCTCTCAAGTTTTATTTTTTTCTCTATTACTTTTCTAACTTGAGCATTATTGGCTCTTTGGCAGACACCCTTCCCCTTTTTTGAAAGTGTACGTCAATTAAGCTAACGATATTTGTTCTTTTGTAAGTAAACTTTTGTTAAATTAGTTGTGTACAAAATTTTTATCCACAATATTGTAATTGTTATTAAATGGTTAACAAAAGTGTTTTTTTTTAACACGTACCAAACTCTAATTTGTGTACAAATAGTTAGATTGATTTTTAAACTGAACCACAGGAAATGTGACGCTTCAAGTCTTCAAGCTTGCTGATTGATCTAAAATAAGCTTAGATAATTGGCCCATCGCCCATCTTCGATATTGTAAATGTAGAATTCAAACCGACATTTGACCACCACACTACTTTTCATATCTCATCTTTTTCCACTTCTTAATTTTAATCACTCTTTGGAAGTTTTCTGTTGTCCTAACAGTAACTCACGCATCCTTTGCCCTTGCTGGTATGTTACGGGTTCATATTAAATTGTCAGTTCATTATTCTTCTAAAATTCTTTGATGTTTTGGAGTATGGGATATCCGAGGTGTTGTAATTTTTAAATTTTGATTTTTGTATTTTCAAATAAACATCTAATAGCAAAAACATTAGAAGTACCGTAAAAAGTCTCTTTTTTATTTTTTTTTCGGTCATTCCATCACCTCAGGAAGAGTAATTTTTTTGTTCTGTTAATAAGATTAAAATTAAGGGACCGTTATTATAATGTTTTCTTTACCTAAATTTAGCGTTAGATTCTCAAATATATCTCATACCACCAAAGCAAAAAAAAGAAAAAGAAAAAAAAAACCCAGAGTTGGTTGAATCGAAAATGTGCTTACTTTTAAGTTCCCAAACAAGGAATTTATATAATATAAACGAACGTGACCAACACCGTCAAATCAAAGTCACATAAACAAAATGCAATTCTATAGATTTTATATTGAGCATATATAGTGTGTACCAAATGGAGGGTCCTAAATTAGCCATTTGTGACCAGCTGTGAGCTTTTGCCTGTGACTAAAAATTGAAAGGAAAAGTTAAATAAACTCCACGGAAAGCTTCCACACACGTAACACTATTGCAAACTGCTACACCGTTGGATGGATGAGCCCAATAGTTGAACTTGCACACACCTCTCTCGGATTATATATATTTTCTTTTTATTATAACTGGTATTCCATACCAATACGTGAGAAGAGAAGAAGTGAGAAGTTTAACTTAGAGACGTAATGCGTTGAAGATATTTTAACTATCAGCGTAATTTATAATTGATTAGTATGTAAATGATCGACATCGTTACTCATATAAGTTCTTCCGATTAAGATTATAAATATCTCAACGTAAGTGTTAGACGACTATTAAAACTGTATCAGATTTGTAATTATTTTGTATATCTAAACAACATTATTACCTATATTATTAAATCTAAAACGCGACGGTGATACACGTATTCCCTCTCCTAAAAATCAAAGAAAGGCTCAATCTTCTCCGTCCATTTGGCCCCCACATTTTTCAGCTAATTGAAAACAGTATCCCTAAGCGAGGACTTTCGGAAAGGAGACAAGATGATTTTTATTTATTTATTTATTTATTTTTATTTTTTAGAGAGAGAGAGAGAGAGAGAGAGAGAGAGAGAGAGAATATGTTGTAAAGTTTCAAGCTTTTCAATATACAAGTTTACAAGCTCTCGCTATCTGAGTGAGTAGCTCGTGCTGGGTTTTGCTTTTTGGGGAGTTGGGGGGAAGTTTGATTCTTTTTATCTTTCAAAGAGTCTCCGCGGATAGTGCTTTTTCTAACTGCTGCTTTTCTCTTTTGAGTCTCTTTGGCTTCTCAAACATTAGATATAAAAACATGGGTTGGATGATGATTCCCTGTTCTGGTAATTCCAACAGTAAAGCAAAAACCAAGAAGAAAAGGAAGAACAAGATTGAGTTGCAGGAAAAGCCACTTGATCAGATCAAACCCACTTCAGGTACTTGCTGGTTAATCAAAATTTACCTCAATTTGTGCTGCTGGTGATTAGCAGATGAATTTACTGGCTTTGTAATTGTTTTTACCCATCTGGGGTTTCTTTTAATTTAGTGGTAGAAGCTTTTAGATAGTTTCGTATGAAGTTTAAGGTCCAAGGGGGGGGAAAATTGATGATTTGATTGCTTGAATAATTGTTTTATTCAGTTTTTAGTATGCAGATTAGTGCCTTTGAGTAGAATTTTTCAAATTTTGAGATTTCTTAGGGATTGAATTTGATACAGGATGAACTGTTGTTGTAGTTAAATTTGATGAATAAATTTGAATTATGATGTCGTATCATGCAATGCACTGGTATAGAAGGCATCTTTGTAGCATTGTATTGCTGTTTTCTTGTCAGAAATGCAGCTTATACTCCTGGTAATGCATATAGGATTGTTTTCGGTTAGCTTGGCATCATCCATAAAATCCCGCTCAATCTTTGTTTCAATTAAATTGCTATTTTTGTTGATAAGTTTACAGGTCTGGTTGTTTTCTCCAGAAATCCCTAACACTTTTATCTATTAAAGGTCTCACTTTCTTTTCTGTGTTTGATTAGGTTTTTCAAAGACTAATTCCATCTTGAGTGTCAAGGAGGATCCGAAAGATGGGGGGTCTGATCACATTGCAGCACAGACTTTTGCATTCCGTGAATTGGCAGCCGCAACTAGAAATTTCAGGTCAGAATGTCTATTGGGTGAGGGTGGATTTGGTCGAGTATATAAAGGACGTTTGGAAAGTACCAATCAGGTTAGTCATGGTTATCTTTTTATTTCATCAAAACATGAAAAGCAACTGGAAAGGTTTTGTATGTGCTTTGCACATATATGTTTGTGTAGATATTTTCAAGGCTGGTTTTTTTTCTTTTTCGGGTGGGAGTGGATTGGGGGATGATTATTTTGAAGTCAATTTCTTCATAAAGACTACTGTTTGCAAACTATGTGATGAAGATTCTAGCTTAATAGGAGATTGAACTTCTAATATGCATCTGATGTAGTTGGTCGTGGAATGTGAAACTTATTGTTGTGTTTGGTGTAGGTAGTAGCTATCAAACAACTTGATCGTGATGGATTACAAGGGAACAGGGAATTCCTTGTTGAAGTGTTGATGTTGAGTCTTCTTCACCATCCCAATCTTGTTAATCTTACTGGTTATTGTGCGGATGGAGATCAAAGGCTTCTCGTTTACGAATATATGCCCCTAGGGTCTTTGGACGACCACTTACATGGTATCTATTATCTTTTGCATTAACTTCCAAATTTCAAATGCTTCTTAACCTTTAATGATTCTTTAGTTAGCTTTTCAGTGGAACTGGTTCATAATCTTGATTTGCAGATGTATCTCCTGGTAAGAGACGACTTGATTGGAATACACGAATGAAAATAGCTGCTGGAGCAGCAAAGGGATTGGAGTATCTACATGACAAAGCAAGTCCTCCTGTTATATACAGAGATTTGAAATGCTCCAACATATTACTCGGTGAAGGATATCATCCAAAGCTGTCTGATTTTGGTTTAGCCAAACTTGGGCCTGTTGGGGATAACACCCATGTATCTACAAGGGTTATGGGAACGTATGGATATTGTGCTCCAGAGTATGCAATGACAGGGCAGTTGACTCTTAAATCAGACGTTTATAGCTTTGGCGTAGTTCTTTTGGAAATTATAACAGGCAGGAGAGCGATTGACAATACCAGAGGTACAGGAGAACAGAATTTGGTTGCATGGGTAAGAAATTCCATTCTGTTCTGGAGTTCATATTCTTTTAAGTAACAAAGCCTTTTGAGCTCTTTCATATTCTTAATAATATGACTGACCATCAATAACGAATTCTGCAAAATCAAAAGTTATTCTGATATTTAACATTCATATGTTACTACTTTGTTTTGCAGGCAAGACCCTTGTTTAAAGACCGAAAGAAATTTTCACAAATGGCAGACCCAACGCTCCAGGGTCAGTATCCCCCAAGGGGCTTGTACCAAGCTCTTGCAGTTGCGGCAATGTGTGTTCAGGAGCAGCCTAATATGCGGCCAGTTATAGCTGATGTCGTCACAGCTTTGACTTACCTTGCTTCACAGAAGTATGACCCTGAAACGCAGCCAGTCCAAAGCTCACGTCTTGCCCCTTGTACCCCCCCTAGAACCAAGAGGGATAGTGAAAGGAAAGCTCAATTGTGGTAATGGACACGCCAACTATCACAAGGTTATGATAATACCTGATAGATGCTCTTACGGGTATGGAGTCTGAGCTAATATTTTTTTGCTGATGATAACATGCCCTCAGACCCTAATTCTGAAAGTTTCTTCCCATCTCCACGTCGTGTCTCATCATCAGAAAATAGTTTTCCTCTTCGTTTTTTTTTCTTGAATATATAGTTAGAATGCTGTATTATATCTTTGTGTGCCTTCGTGCGGTGATTTTTCGTTTGTATTTTTACATTTTTATTCTTCAAATATCTCTATAGATCCGGTAGGTTTCGTTTCATACCACCCTCTTTTTAAGTTTTTCAGGGCTATAGTTCTGCTTTGTTGTGTAACATGTAATTTTCAATTTTCAAACCCTGGCAATATTGCTTTGTATTACTTTTTTGTCTTTTGCTGATATGGAAAGCCTGTGAATGCTTGGAATGAGAAATGTATGTAAAATGTAAATGGATGCATGAACTTGGCTTAGAGTGCAATCCAAGTTTTACAAATAATACGCAAGATTTACATTTCGATTGACTGCAAACTTACCTCTGTCGCGTACGATTATGCTTATCATTTGGAACTCGAAACTCGAGTAAGAGTTTCAACCTGAATCAGTTTCCGAAAACTATTTATGTTACTTAGAGTAGGAGTTTCAACCTAAATTTATCTCTGTCGGAATGCTGTTTTCTGGACTATGGGAGCTGCAGTTTGGTCTTCATGAGGCTCCTGAAAATGCTTTACTAATTTGACGAAAATTATAAGTTGCGTTGGAATTGAGAAATTTCCGTGGAGTTCATAATTGCATAAAAGGAGTCAAAGTAGTGGCTGCGGCGCGTCGAGGCACTTCTTCGACGGTCCCCGTCTGCCCCGCCTGCCGGCCCGATCTGAAGAATTCATGGACTGGCAGGTGGACGAGACAGAATGGGCGGGCACTACAAACCAAGCCTAGTTCTCGCCGATAGGCGCTGGTAGCTTGCTTCCAAGCCCTGCCTTATATAAAAGTTGTTTGTTGTCATGGCCCGAAGGAGACTTAAGCACTTGTACAATGCTCAAGTAAAAATGCTTTACTAATTTGACGAAAATTATATGGTGCTCTGGAGTATTTTAACATTTAGGTCTTCTTTTGTGGCCAAGAATTTAACTGTAAAAAATCTGAAGTATACTAAAATTCTCCAAATCTGGTTAGAAAAAACATAAATGGCTACCAAAAAACTATTTTGCAGGTGATTTTGGGTTATTCTTTCCTTTTTTTGGTAGCAAGAAAATAATCTTTTCATAGTAAATTAGTAAATACTGATACATCCAATCCAATCCAATCCAATCCAGTGCTTTTACTCCCAAACCGAAGACTAAGGGCTAGGCAACATGACTGAGGTACCATCACCACCACCATCGGTTGGGTGCACCAGAAATCTATGGTTCTCCATTTTCGCTTTGTTGATGGTGATGGCTGGTTCTGGTGCAGTTTATCTGTTTGGAACCTATTCCAAAGAGCTCAAAACCACTTTTGGCTATGACCAAGAAACCCTCAACTTGCGGGGAGTTTTCAAAGACAGGAGTTATGGTTACTTGTGTGAAAAACTTCCCACAAAGCCGTGGTATTATGATCGGCCTCCTCAAAGGTTATATCGGGCGCAGTGGGGCTATCATCACCCAAATTTACCTAGCTTCGTATGGATTGCAGGACAGGAAAGCTCTGATTCTTCTCATCGGTTGGCTCCCAGCTGCATTCTCAGTTGTGTTTCTGTGTATGATTCGCCCGATAAAGATCACAGCAACTGCTGAAAATGGACAACTCAAAAGTGTTTTTTCGCTTTCTGTATGTGTCGATTGTTCTTGCCTTGTTTCTCATGCCAATGACTGACCCAGAAATCGGTTGTCTTCCCCCGGGCAGCCCTAGCTACGACTGCCACGGTGGTTTGCGTCCTGCTTTTGTTTCCTCTCTTGATTACCGTCAGAGAGGAGTTAGTCAACTGGACATTAACGAATCAATAACCTTGTCAAATAATCTTAGAGGAACCACAAGAACAAGGGCAACAAGAACTAGAGTTGGATCGAGAGATGAAACCAAAAGGTACGTCTTTCTTCTCAAACATTTTCAAGAAACCACCAAGAGAAGACTACATCATTTTACAAGCACTCTTGAGCATTGACATGCTACTCATATTCATTACAACGTTATTCGGACTTGGCTCGAGCTTGACTGCTACAAACAACCTCGGCCAAATGGCGAAACGTTGGGTTACAAACCTCAGACCATATAAACACATTTGTGTCACTCATCAGCATATGGAACTTCTTCGGCCGAATCTTTTCTGGTTACGTCTCCGAAATCCTACTCATGAGGTATAATATCCCAAGACCCCTTATGCTCATATTTTTCTTACACTAGAATGCCTTGCCTACCTTCTCGTTGCCCTTCCATTCCCTGGTTCCTTGTCCATTGCTTCAGTCGTCATCGGGTTTACCCTCAGAGCTCAGTTTCCACTGGCGTTGGCAATCATTTCTGAACTTTTGGGGTTGAAGTACTACTCCACCCTCTTCAATTGTGGACAGTTGGCAAGTCCTCTCGGGACTTATTTACTCAATGTGAGGGTCACTGGAATGCTCTATGACAAAGAGGCACAGAAGGAGCTTGCTAGGCTTGGTCTGCACAGGATCAAGGGCCAGGATCTAACATGTATTGGAACTCGATGTTATAGGTTGTCGTTTACAGTTTTGACTGCAACGACACTCAGTTGCAGCTCTTGCTTCACTTATTTTGCTCATGAGAACGCTTCAATTCTACAGAAGGGACACACACAAAAAGTTTAGAGAGAATAATAGAATGTCGTCGAGATTGATGAGACTGGAATGGCTTCATCATCTCCGACCCATTAACGGAGAAGAGCTGGAACTACAGTTCTTATTCGGTTTTCTGAATCCAACAAACAAAAGAAAGAATGTTCCAGCTTGCTGATAACGTCGATGATATCATTAACAGAGGCCAAAACTGATTTTAAACGTCACTATTGTAAACAAATGACTCTTAAACAGGAGAACTAATATGCTTTACATTTTGACTGTCTAGGGGTGAACCGAACCCGCTACTGCAAATTGACAAGTTTACAGATCGATGGCTTTCCTGAGTCACCATTATATAAACACAAAGACGAAAGCAAACGAAGATGTACATAGGCAGCAGCAGTTTCAATCTCTATTTCATGGCAATGAAAGTGGCATCCATCACTTTTCCACTAACTGGTCTTTCCCTTCTTCGCCGGTTTAATCCCTTGGACTTCTCAGTCTCTCTGTTGATTCGGTGATTTCAGATCACTGGATCCCTGTAAAAAAAGGGAGTGGGGGGTTACACACAGAAATCAAAACAGGGTTTAGAAGCATGCATCAGGTTAAGACTAGAAGAACCTTAGGTCATGGTATGAAAATAACGGGCACCTAGCGATCAATACAGAAAATGTAGAACTATATACCTTATTTCTGTCACCCCAACCAAGTCCAAATGGTAGAATGCCCATCTTTTTTGTGGAGTTTCCCTGTGTGTTAGCTGCCCTGCAAACCACTTCAGCTTGATAAGCTACTGCCAGAGATATATAATCCCCAGTAGCGCAACCAATGAATATGACAGACATTACGCGTATACAGCCCCAATAGCGTACTAAGAGTCTAAGAGTGACGGTAGAGATGATGGATTGCAAATTTTCATTGTTAAACCGAAAGAGATGGTGGATTGTGAGTTTTCATTGTTAAACATATACGACAACTGTGACTGTATAACATACTGAAAAACAGATATTGTCACGTACCTTGGAGAAAGCGCTTTGGCTTGACCAGATTCATATTGCAATGTAGCCTCCAACATTGATTCCGCCACTTTTACTTTCTTTTCCATCTCAGTAAGTGAAGACATGGCTTTCTCATATTTTTCCTGCATATACGGCATTCTATTGAGAAATAGATACGTTCATGTTTTGCGAAGATGGAAAAATGCGACATCCAGATTGTGAACTCTGGAGTTTGCCAAGAAACGAAACTAACACTTGGCTGTCTCACTCAGGCATTTTTCACTGTGATGCATTTTACAGAAATATATGGGTTTCTTAGAAAACTAAAATGATAATGATCCGACGATCTTTTTCCCAACAAAGAGCAAGAAAACCTCCACAATGTAAGGAGATGGCTTCAAGATATAAGATGCTACCCATATGCACACTAATATCAGGATATCATGGAAAAATAAAGGCACCTGAAGCACATTAACTGCACTTTTCTGAGCAGCTGCTTCTTGCTCGGCACATACTCGGGCATCTTCAGTTACCTTTTGCTCTTGTTCCAACCACATCAAGACCTGGACAGGAAAAAATAAAATAAATACAAGTGATCTTCCCTCTGCTTTCCTCCCCACCAAACGAGAAAACAAGTAAATTTAAACCTTAAGCATTGCAGTCTCTTGCTCTGTCTTATCCGCAAGGGCTTGCCGTAGCTCAGCCACCTCTTGCTCCAACTGCTCAACCTGCAGGACCATGAGGATATGCTAAATACCATCTCAAGATGTAGATGAAAGCAAATATTTTGTAGTTAAAACTTTTAAAGCATTTTCACCTAGGATCCAGATCTCCCCCTTTTCTTTTCTGACAATATTGAGGTTCTGGATGCAATCAATTATACGGTTAGGATTGACACAGTGTCGTTTGAGGTGGAAAAAATAAATTACAACTCCTTATTCACTTCCATGTTTATGATGAGCATACACAAGGTTGTCTAAGGTGAGGTAATGAAAATACAAAATGCAACCTCTCTCTCACCTGGTAACCGAAGGGCTAAACACCGCAATTCATCATTACTGTTGAACCTATTTCGAATAATGTAAATTCAAAAGATTGAAGATAACCCAACTATTTATCCGTTGCTCCAGAGCATAATCCATAGAAACTAGCATAGATGTCACACCTATATATTAGAGTACATGATTGATCCTAAATGCTTATTCATCAATAAGTTTTGTACTGCTGGACAAGGGGTTTAACTAAAGATACTGTAAAACATCACCATATTTAGACAATAATTCAACAGATTTCTTCGACATGGAACATCAGGAAAACATACTACTAGAAGAAAGTCAGTTACATCAACAGCAGAATTACCCTTGTGGTTAACTCTCGTCGATTATCGAGCTTGACCATCTCCATAAGTGCTGTCTCCAACTCCTCAGCCCTGGAAAGAACATGAATCACAAACAGAGCCTTAATCGTTATTTCAAAAGGCATACAATCACAATAATCTGGGCAAAAGGGCGATTGAAAATGAAAATTGATGGCCATCTATGGATGTTTATGGGTGCCTTTTGATCTTTGAGTCAAAGACTAATTGTCAATTATAAAACTGGTAATTTAGAAAGCTAGGCATGAGAGTAATCCTTTAAAGTTTCATATTGAAGATGGCAAAAGGAAAGAAATGCAATTAGTGAAAGCAAACAACGGCAACCAAAAACTCAAACACGATATGAGATTCTAGAGATGAATAGAAAAACCCCCTAAAAATGTAGAACTTTAAACTCGTAAACTAAGTAGCAGGTCACCTGAGTACAGCAGATCTTTTCTCCTCCAGCACCCTGCATACCTCAACCTTCAACCAATCGACCTGCACAAGAGCTGTTAATCATTGAAATTTAAACAAGAAATAGCAGAGGAGTAGCTTATATCTTTCAAAAAATTACAAGTGAAGAACCACTACGATAACCTATAGCCAAAAAGTTCAGTCAGGTCATTTAGGTTGTAAAATGGAAAGGATGAGACGCCTCCAATGAGAAAAACTATGAGCGGGTCTAAAAAGCAAACATCACAACCACATCTCAACATAGAGTTTACATAGCACAGCCAGGGGTGGAGCCACTAAGGGACCAGAGTGGTCCTGTGGTGTAAGAAATTTCCCGGTGGCTCCAAGCCTGCAATTGTCATGAGACATGAGGAAGACGGATTGTTCCTCATGAAGAAGTTGAGTGGAACCACATTGTTGTCTTCTGATTCTAGCAATTTTGTTGTTTTTCATTGTAGTTTAATGAACAGTGATTTTGTAGATGGGGTAAAAAAATGGGAGTTTTAACGAAAACTTACGGTACTGTTCACTTTAACAAAAAACCATATTTTTACACTAAAAAGTTAATCCTGGTACTATTCACCTTACCCTTTATTTTGTCCTTATCGTTAAAACTCAAATTTTTCAAGCCCTTTTCATTAGTTTTCCTTAAAATATAATGCACATCAAGAAATATATTAGGCAAAGGTGCAAAGAGAAAACAACCTGATCATGAAGATCCGGTAAAGAATCTCCTTCTGATACAGATAGGCCACTAACACTAAGGAATTCATCCAGATTAGAAGAGCCAGATTTCGAGCGAGATACATCTCCATCTGTACTTCCTTCAGTAGGACTTTTCTCTTCTATTATACTGGGATCATGCTTAAAACTATACAGCTTAGATGCAAGCCCTTTGGAATCTTTCCAAGCCTGACCCTTTTTAGATCTTTCCCCGACAATTGCTAACACAGATGGTCGATGCTTCTCTCTCAACTCTTGCAATCTACTTTCAGTTATAGCCAAAAAACCCATGCAAGCCGTCAAAACGAGCTGGCTGCTATCGAATGTTGAGCCAACAAGGGACTGCAACAAAGTAATAGCATCTCCTGCATCCTTAGTGGTAACTATCGCCGGCCCTGCACGAGCATATAAACAATAAAATGGCATTTCTAGTGATAAATTGCCAAGACAATAAAATCATATCTACTATGAATTTATGCATTAGTAGAACTGCAACAAGGTACCATATAACTCCATCAGTGCTAGTGCTGTTCGAAATAGCATAACACGATTTCCTTCAAACAGAAGCACATCCCAAACTCGAATAACTGAGGATCAAAGGAAGCAACAAGAAGGTAGATATTTTAGAAAAATATGATTTCAAACTGGTTCTTGAAACTGAGAACTAAAGAGACCGATTATCTAAAGTTTTTAAACAATTCCGAACACATGCCACACAAATCTCACCACTTTCCCATGGAATCATATTTACAAATATGGAAAGGAACCAAGGTCCAATGATCCATCCCACTTGGACTCCTAAGAAATCGAGATGATTCACTGCCACAAGCATAGTGGGAGCGGGATGAGAACCACACTGCTTCGTGTATGGTAAAGAACCAAAAGTTAGGATTATTAAGATGATTATTAGAAGTATACAAACCCAATTTTGGAAATCTTTCTCGCACCAAGTCCTCAAATACTAGTTGGTCCACCTGACAAAACAGAATAATTAATTTTCATGAAGATTAGTTATAACTGAATCCTCCATAAGTATTACAACTGTTGGAAGTGTGATAAAATAAATTGGTGAATCAGAATGGAATCATATATAATTTTTCCCAAGAACTTTAAACCATGAAATCACACCTGAGCTTCTATCATTTCCTCGGTATAGTAGCCATCAAAGTAGTCATCAATTATACCAACCAAAGCCCTTAAAGAAACAAAAGAAACAGTTTAAAAGTGAACCGGCCTATCATAGAACATCTGTATACAAATTGGTAAAGAATTGAGATGATGTAGTGTTCACAGTTCACCGAGACTATTGCCTTCAGCAAATATCTACAACTATTTCAACACATTTTTGCGTAATCAAAACAGAACTAAAAACATACTATCTTCCATAGTTCGCCAATGCACAATGCAGAAGTTAGTAGAGAGCATTGATTTCATTAGAATTAGAAGAAAAACATACAGTCGGCAGAGATTGGGGATATGAGCTCGGAAAACCTACCAAAAGGCATTTTCCTCAGGCATCAGAAGTAACAATAACCCTGCAAAAAAATTCATTGCCTGCACATATTTTAGTACCAAAGTAATAATACAAATACAGTAATAACTAGGACACTGATCATCTTTGACAAAAAGTCATTGCAAAGAAACAAGGAACCATTGGGATTTAGAAGGTAATTTTTCCTTTGGGTGTGGGGGCTCTAGGCCAAAACACAAAAGGACTTTCTGTGCGAAGATAAAATGAGAAATCCATTGAAACAAATGGACAATAGAATGTTAAAAGAATTGGACCAAATTACCTGGCAATACCCAACAGAGGGGTTATGACGAGCATAAGCTAAAAGCAAACGCCTCAGTGAATTACGACCATTCTCATTCAATGCAGGATGTCCTGGAAATGTACGAGGTATGTCCTGCAATAAAATGAAACATTTAGTTCAGGGAGAAACCCAGATTGCAGTACAAAGCAAAAGAAGTAGCACCTACGAATTAAAACGATAAAGTCCAAGGCACATGCATCTATTGACCTTCTCAATCTGCCTTCTCCATTTTCTGGGAATACCAGATGAGTTGTCATTATCCATGCTTTCACTAGTATTTGCTTCTTGAGCCAGCAAGTTATGGTAATATTTTTCCACCCGGCGAGCCTTCACACCTACAAAAGCTTGCCATACCTTCAATGGAAAGATTTAGAAAACATTGCACTTCATCTCAAACAAGTAATTTGGTAAATCAATCAAGTTGAAAGTATCGGTTTCACCTCTCCCCTGAGATCCCTTGGCACTCCACCATGAACAAGAGACTCGAGTTCTAGTTTCCAAGGAAAGAAAGGCTCTGGAGGGTTCCCATTAACCTTAGTTTCCTCTGTCCCAGCATCAACAGCCTCTTCTGTCCCAACGACTTTCACACTGTCGGATTGTCCATCACTTACAGAATTTTCTGCACTTAAGGCGTTCTTACTTTCATTAAAAGCATCGTCAAGACAAATTTTATCCTCACAGTCATCCTCAGAAGCCACTCCTGAAGAAGCTGCTTCTTCTATGGATGGAAGATGGTCTTTATTCCCAATTATCTGCTCATCTTTCATATTTCTTCCCTTCCTGACACGAACACTCATCATATTTTCAATAGAACTAAGAGAGGATCTAATGAGAATCCACGTTTGGACCTTAGATTTCTCTGTTTCTTCTGAAAGTTTAAGCTCCTTTTCTGGATGTCTTTCTGATGAACGATTAGAAACAGATTTCTTACTAATTGTATCATTCCCTTCCTCACCACTCTCAGACACTGTCCCTGCTTTCTGCTCAGTAGCTTTAGCCTGCAATTCGTCTTTAACTGCCTCAGGAGGGCACGATTGAGAAGACTTCTCTATATTTTCAAGGAAGTACTTCCATGTATTTGATCTTTCCTCTTCCTCTTCCTGATATCATAAATATATCACTAAACTGAACAGTCAATATTTCCTTCTTTTAGCCCTTTGGGTATGTTCATTTCGACGAAAATACTATTTCAACAGAGAAAGATGTCCTCAAAAAATAAATTGTGAAGCCCCCATGTTCGTCTTGTCACTCTAGTTCTCTATGAAGTGTAAAGTTGATCTAAAATCATATCTTCCTCCGAATTTTAGTAAATAATCCCATAACAATCACAGATGATATCAGTTTATATTCAAAACAATGTCCTTTTTCCACATCTCTACATATTGAATGTTAAAACAGTTACAAAGTCATTTCAATACCACAAGATGCGCACAAAGAAAACAAATTTACCTTGTAGATGTTCGAGTACTCTCTATATTTTTGTACATGTTGAGGTCTCAAAGCAAATCCATAGGAGTCCCTGTCGACATCAAATTCTCTATGAATGTCTTCAATACAAAATATAACAACAATTTAACAGGTCTATATATATCTAAGATTCCATGACAAAACCAACAAATACGCCATGCATTTAACATCTACAAGCATTAAACCATAGAGAGGAGGGAAAAGGTGGTTTTTTTTTTTGGGGCGGGGGGGGGGGGGGGGGGGGGGTGGGCGGGCGGTGGTGGGTTTGGGGTGGAGAGAGATCATAAAGGTTGAATTTTCCCAGCATTGAGAATAAACTTAGACTGGTTAACAACCGAATACGGAATAAGTTTCTAGAAATTCTACGGACCTGGAATCAGCCTCCAACGAGCGCTTACTCAACAAGGACAATAACATGCTTCACAATGAGTTAAAATTCTACTGCCCATAGCTTTCATTTTCTTTACAACCAAACTCGGAAATTCTAAACGTTCCCGCTACATTACACACTCGAAGAAAAACAAAAATCAAATATCCACATTACACATTATGTATTCGCACAAACCCTAACCCTAACTCCCCTTGAACACCACGGGTTACCACAGAAACTCATCAAAATTCAAGATCAGCCAATCCTGAACCTCATCAAATTCAATGCCAACCAATCCTCGAGCAGAATCGAAAACTTTCAACAGAAAAATAAAATGTTGAATTAAATTCTACAGCTGAAATTCGAGAAATAAAAACAAAAGATTGTCGATCCACAATTGCAACGAAACAGAAGAATATGGTTGTCAAATGACTCGGTCACCCTGTGTTTCGAAGTATCAGCAAGAAGAAGGATTTAGAGATTAAGCCTAATACATATAATTAGTTACAGAAATGCGGAAAATTAGGGTTATATAACACGTTGAGAAACGAGAAAATTCAAGAGCGCGTAGCATTTACAACCTGGGCTTTGGAGCGTGGAGGCCGTTGGACCTCTGTTCCGCCATTGTAGTTCGGAGAGATAAGAGAGAGACATTAGAGTTCAGGCGTTTGATTCGGAGAGAGATAAATAAGAGAGCCGGTTCGTTGATTACTCTGAAACCGAAACTTAGGCGAAACGTTTCTCTGTGTCTCCCTCGTGTGAGTGAGTCAGTGAGGGTGTGGAAGCTGAGCGCTCCTGCATGGATATGGAGACGTTGAAACTGAAGTTTGTTGGTCACGTGAGCTTTTAGCGGGACTTGGAGGGAAGACGAAGTAAACTACTGCCTACTCCAAGTCGGATGCAGCTCCTCTTTGCTTTTGTTTTTTTTTTTTTTTTTTTTTTTTTTTTTTATACCATGATTTATTTTACTAAATTAGTATTCAACTTGTCATCTATAAGATTCAAATTTAAAATATCTCTTAGTTTTACGTGTATTCATAGACAAGTAAAAAATAACAGTTGTGCATCTCCTGCCCTGTAGATTTAGGGTAAGGGTTTTGGTAGTTATATATTGTAAGTATATAGCTAATTAGGAAATAAGTTGTGTATCAATGTGTATTCACTTGAGTTAAAATACCGAGTGTGCAGCTCTATTGTAGTAAGGCAAATAATGTCAGGTGTAATGGTCCTAGAAAATAGCTAGATGAAGGGCTGAAATTGTTTTTGTAATGAGAGAGAATCCACCTTGGATTCTAACAGTTACGTAAGCACCGAATGTGTGAATTGAAGTGAGAAAGATGAAATGAATATGTTTTGCTAGTTTTTTTTTTTTGCAGAGAGTGAGAATCCTTTTGAAAATTCTTCCATTGTTATCTTTCTCATTCTTTGTTCTTCGATTGTTCATCTCAACCAGATTTTAAAACCAAATCTCAACATGGCCTTATAGCCAAGTTCGATCATTTGAATTTGGGCGTAAAATTGTGAATTTTCAAAGCTAAATTGAACCTCACTCAAAGCTTGATGAAGGTCACCGGAGCTTCGTTACCATCTAAGAAGAGTATTCAACTTATTCGGACTAAAGATGTCTGGATCTAGAGGCTCGGAAGTGAGAACTCCAATTTTCTCAGGTGAGAACTACCAGTTCTAGATAATCAAGATGCTGTTGATCTTCAAATCACATGGGTTGTGGAATTTGGTTGAAAAGGTGAGCTATAACTCTTGATTCGAAGAAGAAAAAGAAGGTTGATGGATCATTGAAGGATGAGGGAGATGATGAAATGGTTGCTGAGTTGATGAAATATGCAAAGGCTCTAGGAATTATTCAGAATGCAGCCTCCGATCAAATTTTTTTCTCGAATTGCCAATGCTGAATCGGCTAAGATGGCATAGGATCTAATGTATGGAGACTATCATGGTGGCGATCACGTGAGGTTTGTAAAATTGCAAAATCTTATACTTGAGTTTGAATATGCTAGAATGCGTGATGATGAAACTCTATTTGGATACCTTACTAGACTAAATGATTTGATTAATCAGATGAAAACATTTGGTGAAGTTCTTTCTAATGAGAGACTTGTGCAGAAGGTTTTGATTAGTCTTAGTAAGCCATATGATCCTATATGCCTGGTTATTGAAAATACAAAATGTTTGGAAATTGTAGAATTGCAGGAGGTTATTGCAATTTTGAAGAGCCAAGAACAACGGTTCGATTTGCACAATGTTGACACAACTGAGAGAGCTTTTGCCTCACTCTTTGTGAATCCAAAAGAACAAAACAAAAGTGGTGCTCATTCTGGTTCATCCAGATTTCAGAAAAATTGGAATCCCAAGGGCAAGAAATGGGAATCAAAACCAAAGTTTCAACAATATCTTCTGTGAATAATTACCAGAATGTGAATTCATCTTAATCAATGAGCAAAGAGGTTACAAAGTCTCAGTGCAAGGTGTGTTCTAAGTACCACTTTGGTGAGTGCAAACACAAAGGGAAACTCAAATGCTTCAATTGTGATAAGTTTAGGCATTAGGCTAGAGAGTGTACTACAACAAAGGCAGTGCAAAAGGCAAATCATGCAAACCAAGTGGAAGTGCCTAGAAATATGTTCTATGCCAACAATGCAACTACTAAGACTAAAGTAAATAGAGAATGGTACATTGACAGTGGTTGTAGCTATCATATGATAGGGAATGTGGATCTGCTTGTTGATGTGAGAACCAACATTGCAGGCAAGGTTCAAATGCCAACTAGAGATCTTGTAAATGTTGCAATAATGAGATATTTTGTTATTGACACAAACAAGGGTAGAAAGTATGTTAGAGAAGTAATGTATCTTCTTGGTTTAAAAGAATTTGCTCAGTGTTGGTCAAATGGATGAACATGGATATTTCTTGTTATTTAGTGGTGGAATGTGTAGTGTGTTTGATGGTCCATCACTGGATTGCTTAGTCATTAAAGTGAGGAAGAAAGTGAACAGATGTTATCCACTGACTCTACTACCTAAGAATCAAATTGCATTGAAAGCAAGTGTCACTCATTCTACTGAGATTTGGCATAAGAGACTCGAAAATCTACATTGTGGTGGTCTCAAGCAATTGAGAGACAAAGACATGGTTCATGGATTACCCCAACTTGAAAATCATAATGGTGTATGTATAGGAAGCAACATAAAGAAGAGTTTCCAATAAATCAAGTGCAAAGGGCTAATGCTCCACTTGAACTCATTCATGTTGATCAATGTGGACTTGGGAAAAATGATTCAATTGCTGGAAATAAGTATTTCATGCTCTTGATAGATGGTCTTACCAAAATGACTTGGGTTTATTTTCTAAGATACAAATATGAAGCATTCAATTGTTTTAGAAAGTTCAAAGTTATGGCAAAATTGCAGAGTGGATTCAAGATTAAGTGTTTGAGAAGGGCATGTGAAAATGGGTATAAGGTGTTTGATCCAATATCCAAGAAACTTGTCTTGTCAAGAGACATTGTCTTTGATGAAGAAGCTGCTTGGAATTGGGAGGAGAATTCAAATCAATTTTCTCCTACTACTAGAAGATTTTCTTATGATGATGCTAGTGCTGAAAGAAATGAAAGTGTGGTGTTGTCTCCTGCATCACCTACATCACCTTCACCTAGAAGGGCTCTTAGTATTGAGGACTCTGGAACTCAGTCTAAGTCACTCACTTTCAGGTGAATCTACAAGTACTTCAAGTCTGAATGAGAAGTATACTCAAGCATTTGATCATACACCATTGAAATGGAGAAAACTAAATGAGGTACTGGCTCAGTGTAATCTATGTATCATGGATTCAGAGAAATATAAAGATGCTAAACAAGATGAGTCTTGGTTGAAAGCAATAAAGGATGAGCTGTTCATGATTGAGAAGAATGGTACATAGAAGCTTGTTGATAGACCAACTAAAAAACCTGTCATAGGGGTTAAATGGGTCTACAAAACCAAGCTAAATCTTGATGGTTCATGTTTAAAAATAAAGCAAGATTGGTTGCAAAGGGTTATGCACAAAAGCTTGTATTGGATTACAATGAAACCTATGCTCCAATTGCTAGGTTGGATAATATCAGGACTCTGATAGCATTGGCTACACAAAGAGCTGGAAATTGTACTAGTTAGATGTAAAGTCAGCTTTCTTGAATAAAGTATTACAAGAAGAAGTCTATGTTAAGCAACCTAAAGGATTTGTAGTCAAAGACAAGGAAGACAAGGTTTACAAACTACATAAAGCCTTTTATGGTCTAAAACAGGCACCAAGGCCTAGTATAGAGAAATAGACACTTATTTCTCACAGTGTGGTTTTGAGAAAAGCTTGAGTGAACTAACACTGTACATAAAGGCAAGAGGGAGTAGACATTTTGATTGTCTCTATATATGTGGATGATATAGTCTACACTGGCAGTTGTAAGTCAATGCTAGAAGAGTTCAAGGAAGACGTGAAGAGAAAGTATGAGATGACAGATTTGGGATTCCTTCATCATTTTCTTAGGATAGGAGTAATTTAAACTGACTTAAGTGTCTTTATTGACCAAAAGAAATATGCAAGTTCCTTGTTGAGCAAGTTTGGATTAAGTGAAGGAAAGTTTATGACAACTCATCTTGTAGCAATTGAGAAGCTAACCAAAGATGATGGAAGTAGACCTGTGGGAAGCCTTTTGTATCTCACTGCCACAAGGCCAGACATAATGTATGCAACAATTTTATTAGCTAGGTTTATGCATTATCCTACTAATAGACATTATGGAATTGCAAAGAGGGTGCTCAAATACATCAAGGGGACCCTAGACTATGGTCTGGAATATGTGAAGGGGAGAAAAGCTTGCTTAATTGGCTATTGTGATAATGACTGGGTTGGTTCATTGAATGACAACAAATTAGGGTATGCTTTCTCTTTTGGCAATGATGTGTTCTCTTGGGCTGCAGTTAAGCAAAGTTGTGTTGCACTTTCAATTGCAGAGGCTAAATACATAAGTGCATCTAAAGCCACAGCTCATGCAATATGATTAAGGTTTATTATGAAGGATTTTGAAGAATTGCAAACTTAAGCAACCCCTCTTCACTATGAAAACACTTCTGCCATTGCTATTACCAAGAATGATGTGTTTCATCAAAAGATCAAGCACATTGACAAGAGATATCACTTTATCAAAGATGTGTTGCAGGAAGGCATTATTGACTTGGTGTATTATCCTATAGAAGAGCAATTGGCAGACATCTTCACAAAGCCACTCGCAAAAGATAGATTCAATTTTCTCAGAAGTATGCTTGGAGTGAAATCAACATTAGGCTAAAAGGGGAGTGTTGAATTGTAAGTCTATAGCTAATTACGAAATAAGCTGTGTATCAACGTGTGTATTCACTTGAGTTAAAATACCAAGTGTGCAGCTCTGTTGTAGTAAGGCAAATAATGCTAGGTGTAATTATCCTAGCAACTGGCTAGATGAAGGGCTGAGATTGTTTTTGTATGAGAGAGAATCCAATCCACCTTGGATTCTAATGGTTATGTAAGTGAGAGAGATGAAATGAATATGCTCTGCTAGTTTTTTGCAAAGAGTGAGAATCCTTTTCAAATTTTTTTCCATTGTTATCCTTTTCATTCTTTGTTCTTCGATTGTTCATCTCATAACCAGATTTTAAAACCAAGTCTCAACAAAATAGATCGCACTAATGATGTTGCTATCTCCTCCTCCACGCGTTAAGGGTTAGGGTTGGTAGATCATAGCATTTAGTAAACCTCTCCGCAAAAATGTCTCAGAGTGTATTTATTGTCTTTGTGTATTATATACATGTAGCTTCAGTTTCTACTCCGTTCTTTTTCAGTGAATCAGTGATGCAATTTGTTTCGAATTCCAGGTAGTCGAATTTGGCCTCATCCAAATGCCCAAATAAAAGCCTCAAATACATAAATAAACCATACGTAGTACAAACCAAAGCAATCCCCAAATGTGTTTTCCACCAGATTCAACGATAAAAAACTATTGAAGTTTGTGGGAACGTTGTGCAGGGGGAATGACTATTCTCTATGTGTTTCACTCACCAAAGTGATTACTTCTAAAGTTTTGAGCTTGTGCAAATGGTCATTTACCACAAGTGGTAGAAAAATGTGCTCTTGCATGACCTTGTCAATGGCTAATCTAATGTCAAACTTACTAGCACCATCGCTCGACTCAAAAAAAGAAAGAAGTAAGTTTTGAGCTTGCGCGGGTGTTGTTCCTCGAGAAACTATATAGCGGGTTGTTCTTTTGTACATGTTTAATTTCTCCTTGCTACGGTGGCAAGATACAAGCCATAAGATACTTGTAGATGAAATAGAACTTATAACATTCATTTGTGGGTTAAACAGTTTTATCTTTTATGAGAAATTACTAAATCGATTTTAGTAATTGAAATAGGTTTAACATATATGATACTTGTAGATGACACATAGCAACGGAAAACAATAATAAGTTTATTTTCATTTCTTACTAGCATATGGGCACACACAAATGTGTGAGAAATTATTTTTTTTTGTTTTTGAAATAGAAGGAGAGAGGAAGAGAGTGATAGAGAATGTGGGAGTGGGAAGTGTTTTTTTTTTTATTATTTTTTTTTTATTTTATTTTTTTTAATTAGAGATATGTGAGGATTTGAGGCTTTTTTTGGTTGTGTGAAATTACATTTCTGCCACATATTTCTTATTCATGTTTATATTTTTAACTAGAGGGTTAAACTGAGGGTTTTAGTTGACAATGAATGTTTTATTAATTAGTAGAGATTATTTAGGAAAACTAACTAGTAAATCACTAACTCCAATTTATAGTTAGTTTTTCTAAATAATAAGGAAAACTAGTTAACCTACGCTAGTAAATTCCAAGTTAGTAATTTTCGTAAAAGATAAAAAGTTAGTTTCCCTAAACAATAAGAAAAGCATTTAGTCCACGCTAATAAATTACTTGAAGAATTTTTGTGTACGCAAAACACTTGCTAGTGTTCTACTACTTCACATGTTAATATGATGGCGTCGAGTTTTACAACTTTTATAATACATAAAAAAAAAAATTTGTTTAGAATATTACACAAACGATGATTTTTTTTTTTTTTTTCACGCTAACCTCCAAACTTAGGACACAAAAAAATGGAACCCGATCCAATAAAACTGAGCCTGCTGAGCAGATGATTCGGACCGTTGAAATTTGATCCAACGGCTACAAACGCGGGGGGACTCTCTAAAAGTTATAATAGTTGTAACCGTTGGATCAAATTTTAATGGCCTGATCATCTGCTCAGCATGCTTAGTATATATGGATCCGGACGGAATCAGGTTCCCAAAACAATTGCTCAATCACATACACTAACTCCGAACTCAGGACACGTGGCCATTGATTCTTTTCTTTCACATAACTACATATTTTGGTATAACATGGAACATGTTGGAACTCCTCCATCTCATATATATTTTTCGTTACGACATGATATTAGACACATTTTGCCTTGTTTTTATTGGACGGTAGTATAAACATATAGAGAACTTCCTAGTTCCAACTCAAAAAATACATGTAGGAAAACAAGAATATTTTAAGAGAAGAGATTACCGTTCTTTTTTTAAATGAGAATAATTGTGGGATCCATAATATATTGAACTTTAATAATCTGAACCGGTTACTTTTCAAATTGCACCAAATAAATCATCCTTGCAAGATATTAGCTAAATAAAAAATATTTAAAACATCTAATTGAGTTCAAAAAAATTAACAAACACTTTGCTCTATAGGAAACAGGAAATTTCATCGTGATAATTAAATAAACAAATGATTTCATATTAATTTGAATTTTTGTAAAAAATGACTTATGAATTGATACTTACAACGGTTCGAAACATTAAAGTTAGATGTAGAGTAGACCCCACAACTAATCCTTATTTTTAAAAAAAAAAAAAAAAAAAAAAAAAAGAGAAATAGATGGTTAAATCATTAAAGTTAGATGCAGAGTAGCTCCCACAACTAATCTTTATTTCCTTAAAAAGAAAATGAGAATCCCTTTGCATGAAGGCCCATAGGAAACAATTTGGCCAACGTGGCTTGGACTGTATTCTTTGGTAATTATTCTTTCATTTGCAAAAGAAATGCCTCTTCTGAAGAAATAGTTGATAGATTACGAGAGAATCCGCACTAACAATGATCTGAATTTTATTGATGTAACAATGATACTTATACACATCCATATCCAGACAAGTCCATGTCTATAACAGACAACATAATCTGCATACATAATTAGGCCGGCGAGCGGCGAACAATCTGTGCGTGGCCTGAGCCACTTATTTATACCACGTACCAAAGCAGAATAGCTCACAAGTTTACTGCTGCTCCTGTAACAAAAAGTATTTCGCGGAAGTTAGCAAACCAGCATAACGAATGAAAAAGAACGACTGAGCATGAATTTCGTATTCAGGTCAGCAAAAGAGAATGTACCAGGAAGCGTTTCTTGTAGAATGCAACAAGCTCCTTTGGATCAGTTTTGGTTACCTTGTATGCCTCAATCTTATTGACTTCCTGCACAAGGATATATAATAACCAGAACAATCACCATCTGTTACCAAAAATCCTATGTTATACAGGAACTCGTCGCTCTATCAAATCTGAATTTAAGATAATGGTTTACAGAGTGCTTTTAGCTTAAGAGTGCTTGCTCGAAAACTACGTGATCAGCCAGCTCAGTCTGTTTTTAGCATAGAGTTCTGTTTGGAAACTGCCTAACCATCTAGCTAGCTTAGTCTCATGAAATGTTTAAGTTCGTTTTTCAACAGACGAGAGACAATTAACCATACATGGAGTACAGCTCATAACTTTCTATATGCAATTCTATGGTCTGTTAATGTACCTCGAACCATGCTGCTAGTTTGGGCCTCCCTGCTGTGATGTCATACTTGAATACGTCTGATAAGAAGACTTGGAATCGCTCAATAAACGGGATATAGGCTATGTCCACCTGCAGAACACATGTTTCTATCCATTACTTAACCACTCTGTGTTGCTGTATTGCTTACAAAAGGACATTTTGCTAGTTCATTTTATTAGATATACATACATAGTTGTACATTCAACTTACCAAACTGAAATGACCCAGAAAATATGGCCCGTCGTCAAATTTCTTAAGAGTATTTTCCAAGTAATCAAACTGCTCATCTGGTGCAGATAACCAAATTCAGTCAGTGTAAATTCATCAACAAAATGGGTCACCTGATGGGAGAACCTCACAAGTCTTACCAGCTGCTTTTACCGCGTCTCCTTTGAATGAGCGAAACAAGGACCCCGTGAAGGTATCGACGTAAGTTAACAATTCTTCACCGAACTTTTTTCTCTCAGGATCGTCCTACAAATAGCATCACTTTGGTCAAATTTCTGATAGACAAAGACATGTTACTTGAGGCACAATCCAATTCTGGATATCCTACCTTGGGGAAAAGTGAAGGCCCTTCGAAGTTGCTATCAACGTATTTGATCAGATCAAGACTTTCTCCAATGACGTTTCCATTGTGCTCCAGAGCTGGCACCTATAAAAAGAACCGATCAACAGATTTATCCAGCTTCACCAAATTTCCCATAGATAATCAATGACAGCAAAGAAGAAAGAACCCTAATTTTTGTTCAAAATTTTACCTTGTTTCCAGGGTAGACCTTTTCCTTGTACCAATCAGGCCTGTTTTGAAGATTTATAGGGACTAGCTTAATCTTGTCTTGCAAACCCTGCAACTCAAAAATTTCAACAAAAACAAACAATAAGACAAAATAATCGATATGGATTCTATTAATTTGCAATTTACCAAATCAAGAAAACAAACATGGCGGGAGTGAGGATTTAACAAATCCCCCAATTGATGTAATGATTAAAATCGAATAACGACGACATATCAACGACAAAATCTTCAAAAATTAATTTCAGCAATCGGGGTTTGTATTTTCATCATTTCTCAAAGAAACAAATTGAATTATCATAACAGGGTCTTTGCCAGAAGCTCCAAAAACAGAAAATACGAATGAAAAAAGAGAGGAGCCAAACAAACCTTATAGTTCCTAGTGATCCAAACCCGCTGTGCAAATGGACATGCGTAATTTACGTACAACCTTCAAAACACAAGCAACCAATACACATCAAAACATGGTAATCAGTGACCAAAATTGAAATTCGACGAGACAGATGGCGAAAACAGTCACAAAAAGTACATTATCTTCGGAAAATTGGCTGAAATGATCAAATTACAAAATTTGAATTGCTGAAATGATAGTATTTCACAGTACGGCTGATCGATATATCATATCAGACCAAAAATGTAGAGGAAAGAGGTAAACCTTGTAGTGCCGTCAAAGAGAGGAGGTGGGGAGGAAGTGGAATCCAACGGTGGAGGAAGTTCCTCATGCCTGCAACACCCAGAAGATAAAAATCAGAAATTCATTAGGTGTCTGTGTAAGCCAGAAATATCTTTCATTAGCCAGAAAGATGAGAAATCGTACTTGTAAGCCATTTTTGGAGCTCTGCAGAAATAAGCTTTTTTCTTTTTTTGTGGCAATCAGAATTTGGCGCAGAATGCTGTCTATGTACAAAACGGGTGGTCCTTTTATAGGGGAGTGTGAGTCGGTGGTTGAGTCGCCAGCAGTGACGAAATTGCGTTACTGTTTACTATTCGTGTGCGCGAGTTTTGGCGGTGCAGGATAGGGTATCGTGGAGTTGATTTGTCGTCCGTTGGATTTGAGTAACTTCGTATGATCTGGGTTTTGGTGTTGGTCGGACGGTTAGAGAGGAGCGTTGAGCATGGCGACTTTATCCGAGTTTTTAATAGAATTTAAATCCTCGCCGGATTCTTTTTGTCAGGATCTCGAAAATCCGTGAATCATATTCGTTCATTATATATCGTGCGGTCAGAAATTATTTTATATACTTTTAAAATTAAATACAAAAGTATCTGATAAAAACTAACAGCACAATGTACGATGAACATAAATGATTTACGAATCTCCAGGATCTACACCAAAAGAATTCGGAGAGGTTGCTATTGGTTTTTAATATTGTGAACTAATCATTTTGGTAGCCACTAGTCAGTCGGTATGGCAAAAAAAAGTCGGAAGGAGTCTAGAATCTTGGGTCAGGTGGAGTAGTGTTTCCTTTTATTCGTATTAATAGGGAATTTCGTCATTTAGTATTATAGTCTAGTGATATTCCTCTTCATTTGAAGTGAGGTCTTAAGTTTGATTTTCGCTAAAAGTAAATTTGAATTTCATTATTGCTATTATAGTGTGAGGCTAAGTTGATAATATCGTTTGTTAAAAAATTAAAAAAAAAAACACATGAACTTGTAAGTGAGAGGTCTTAAGTTTGATTTTCGCTAAAAGAAAATTTAAATCTCATTATTGCTATTATAGTATGAGGCTAAGTTGACAATATCGTTTGTTAAAAAATTAAAAACAAAACACATGAACTTGTGTTGCATGAAATCAAAATATAAAAAATATAATAGAGTTTCGTGTTTTTGTGAAAAGTGTCTGTAGACAACGAAATTTCGATGAAATGAATATTGACAAATAACTAAAATTTCAATGCTCACATGTCAAATAAATTTTACACGTAGCGTGAGACTCAACGAAAAAATCAAAATAAATCGGAAAAGTCATCAAATAGGACACGTGTTAATACCTGGCAGAAATGATTTATTTCATCTGATTATTTAAATAAAAAAATCAAGTTTTGGAATTCTATAAATAGGAAGCCAAGGTATTCATTTTGGGAGGAATGGATATCACACCAAAACCTTGAAACTTTGAAACTCTAAAGCTCTCAAGCAAATCCCGAAGGATTAAGAAAGTCTCTCCGTTTCTTCGTCAAATCCTCCTTCAAGATCAAGCATCGACGGCCCTTAAAGAACTTCCACCAACTCAATATCAAGCCCCGACGGCCCTTGAAGAAAGTATTCATCGTTCATCATCCGTTCATCTCAAGATCAAGCCCCCACGGTCCTTTGGATTAACAAAATCAACAAATCCAAACATCTAACCGTTCTTCAAGATCAAGCCTAAAATCCCTTGAAGAAATCCGCACAACCATTCTTCAAGATCAAGCCCCGACGGCCCTTGAAGAAAGTGTTCATTGTTCATCATCCGTTCATCTCGAGATCAAGCCCCAACGACCCTTTGGATCAACAACATCAACAAATCCACACATTCAAGCCCAAAAGCCCTTGAAGATCCGCTCATCCATCAACCTTCAAGATCAAGCCCAAAAGCCCTTGAAGAAATCCACACAACCATTCTTCAAGATCAAGTCTAGACGGCCTTTGAAGAAAGTGTTCATCGTTCATCATCCGTTCATCCCAAGATCAAGCCCTAACGACCCTTTAGATCAACAACATCAACAAATCCACACATATAACCGTTCTTCAAGATCAAGCCCAAAAGCCCTTGAAGATCCGCTCATCCATCAACCTTCAAGATCAAGCCTGACAGCCCTTGAAGAAATCTGCACAACCATTATTCAAAGATCAAGCCCTGAAGACCCTTGAAGAAGCTCCCACCTGTTCATCCTAAGATCAAGCCCCAACGGTCATTTGGATCAACTTCAAGATCAAGCCCAAAAGCCCTTGAAGATCTGTTCATCCTTGTTCTTCACAGCCCTTGAAGAAACTTCCAACTGTTTATCCAAGATCAAGCCTCGACATCCCTTGGATCAACAACACGTCAACAAACCAACATCTTACGGAGATAGAATCAGAGGACCAAATTACTAAGAGATTATAACCCCAAAATCATTAATACAAAATATTATTTTGTACACGTGTTCTTGTTTCAAGAAATTTTCGTGTTTACAAATTTGGCACGCCCAGTGGGATAATTTCTACCTCTCATCTCTTTCTCCGTTCCGAAAAACCAAAGCACACCTCCAAAATCAATGGCATCAAGCAAGGGACAAGTCGTTCTTGCAACCACCAAGGCTAGAAGCCTGAGCACTTCCGCCACGAATGAAGCATCCATTGGCGCCACAACCACTTCTCAACATGCCACTTCAAAATTGGTACCGCTAAGCGAGCAAGGGAAGCATCAAAGGCGCAAGTCTGTCATCAACCTGACCTTGTTAGGGGCACCGAAGCATGCTGCTGAGGCGCACAAGATAACATCTCAAAATGGGCAATGGGGTTCTTCGTCAGCACCCTGGATGTCTAAAGGAAAGTTATGCCTATTGGTTGCACAAGTCATGACCATCGGCGTTACCTCTATTAAAGAATAACTGGCTCAAATGAGTAAAGCAATTGCAAGGTTCACAAGGACCGCGGAGGAGAAAGACTTGCAAATCATCGTACTCATTAATCGATTGGAGGCGCAGCATGACAAAAAAGTTGACCGCGACCCGAAACTTAATCCACTAAAGAGAGAAACCAACGAAAAAGATGAGCCTCTGGTGGAGAAAGACGTAGAGAAGCCGGAGCCAGACCAAGCAATGGCTCTCATGAGATCTTTTTCCATCCAGCAGCTTCAGAACATGATTGCCAACATCATCAGAGAGCACAGGTGAGAAACATTTCGCAAGATGCAATGCTATACTCAAAGCCATACATCAAAAGTATTAATAGCTTGCGTATGTCGTCAGGATATCAACCACCAAAGTTCATGCCGTTTGACGGAAAGGGAAAGCCAAAGCAACATATCGCCCATTTCATTGAAACTTGCAACAATGCTGGGACGGAAGGAGACTACCTCGTCAAGCAGTTCGTGCGCTCGCTAAAAGGTAACGCCTTTGACTGGTACACCGACCTTGAGCCCGAGTCTATCAACAGTTGGGACTAGCTAGAAAGGGAATTCCTCAATCGTTTCTACAACACTTGCCGTATTGTGAGCATGCTGGAGCTGACCAGTACGAAACAATGAAAGGATGAACCTATCGTCGACTACATCGATAGATGGCGTTCATTAAGTCTTGATTGCAAAGATCAGCTTTCTGAAACCTTCACCATTGAGATGTGCGTTCAAGGCATGCAGTGGGGACTACACTACATCCTTCAAGGCATCAAACCATGAACCTTTGAGGAGTTAGCCAGCGGTCCCATGATATGGAGTTAAGCATTGCCCATCATGGAAAGAAAGAACTGATCGCCGAATACAAGAATGACAAAGTTTTGGTGGCAAGATGGATAAGGCTGTATGGAAACCCACCAAAGAAGCAATGACGGTCAACAAAACTCCAATCAAAATCTCTACACGAGGTAAGGTGATTCAAACCGAAGTTTTTGGTGATCAAGAGATGCGTAGACACACTTTGAAGGAGCTTGAGGAGAAGACTTATCCATTCCCCAACTTTGATGTGGTTGCCATGTTAAAAGACTTGCTTGACAAGAAGGTGATCGACCTACCTGAGTGCAGACAGTCGGAAGAGATGAATCGTACTGACAGTCCAAGGTACTGTAAATTCCACCATTTCATCAGTTATCCGACGAAAAAGTGCTTTGTGCTGAAAGATCTCATCATAAAGCTGGCTCAGAAAGGAATCATCGAGCTAGATCTTGACGATGTGGTAAAGTCAAACTATATCATCGTCACTTCTGGCTATTTCGACTCAAAATCTTCACCTCAATCGTTGGGGGCATGCTCCAAAACCATGTCAGTCAAGTGAAGTGAAGTTGAAGGATGAACTCATGTCACTCCAAAGAAAATGCATAAAAAGCATGCGTCTTCTTCACAAGTTCACCAATCGGAAGAGGGGAAAACAGCTCTCGTCAACCTCCAAAGCTACATGAAAGTGTTAAGGATGATGAAATTGTGAGACGTAGATCGTCTGTTGCCATCACAATGCGCAATTTCTTACCCAAAGACTTCTTCAATCACTCGGTCAAGACTTTTTGCTATGAAGATTGCAAGGAATGCCTCTCCAAGATTGTTTGACAAATTCATAAAGCTCCTCGTTCGCACGAGCCTAAAAGACGATAATGAACGCTCCTTGCCTGCACGAGCTGAAACTGCAAACGGCACCAAAAACTCCTTGCCTGTACGAGCTGAAACTGCAAACGTCACCAAAAATTCCTTGTATGCACGAGCGTAAAAGGCGACAACAAATGCTTCTGGCCCTCAAGAGCATAAACTGTATGGGGGCAAAATCATCATCAAAATCACTACCTTTAAAACCATCAAAAGCAGTCCATCCCTCATTTGAACTACGTTATGACTTGATCCCTCCTTAACCGAGGGTACGTAGGTAACTTGAAACTTCAAAACTTCAAGTACAGTCGCATCATTAACAAAAAACACAAACACTTCCAAGAATAAAGAGCAAATTCAAAATGTGAATATTTTATTTCTTTAAAAGAAGAATTTGGTTACAAAGCCTTATTACCCAAAAAAAAAAAAAAAAAAAAAACAGGGGCTTGTACAAAAAATGGAAGACACCATTTGAAAGTTGTGTCCCTAAAAATACGGCGACGATCTTCTAGCAAGCCTTCTAAGTCTTCAAAGCCTCCACATCGGTGTGAGACAAGGTAGGCACTTCCATAGCCACACATTTCCCTTGCTCTAGGCGTAAAATCTCCTTTTGATGCTAAGAAAGTGAAGCTTCCTGCTTTGAGAGAACACCTTGAAGTCGTGAT